TCCATCCAAGCTCCCTTTGAAGCTCCAACAAGGGTAGTATTTATAAGCAAGAAGGAGGGATCAAAGTAGTGTGGAGGAATAGTACATGGCATTCAAAATCCAAGTGAAAGTCCCAATGTCCGGAGAAAAAATCAACCACTCTGCAGCCTGTCTGTGGAGAACGTTTGAACGTGATCTGGCGTTCGAACTTTGTTTCTATTTTTGCTTTATGGGTGTTTGAACATTGTCTGGCGTTCAAACATTTCTTTGTCTTTGTTTTATAGGTGTTCGAATGCTAGATGGGGTCTGACCTTCTCACGCAAGTGGCATGTGGTCTTTTGTGGAAACTTATTTCCACACTTCATGCACATCTTGGCATTTTGCACTCATGATCCTGGTCCTCAATTAATTCAAATGGACGTTCGAATGTGAGTTAGCGTTCGAACGTGATACTCAATTCTTGGTTGCAACACGCCATGTCTAAACAGTCTGGTCTTCACATGATTTAAAGTAATATTCAAATGTTGATTGGCTTTCGAGCGTTCTTGGCTTGGTCCAAGTTGTTCCAATTTTGCTCCAAAATATGCTAGTGTTGCATGGGAGTCCGATATTCATTGCCTTTGGTCCCTTGTACAATTTATGACCTAAAATGTCATCATTTAAACTCTATCAAAGTATAATTAGTCTTAAAGGAGCATAGACATATGCTAATTTTGACTACTAATCATCTATAACTTAAATAAAATTCGGGCAGAGTCTCTTTTGCATGGGGAGCTCTACCTAACACACACAACCTGTGAAATCCTAATCATTGACCACACTGAGTCTCAACATCAACATTCAATCAATATAGCATAGAATACCAACATCCAAGACATTCATTCGTTTACAAAAGAATATTGTCCAAGATTGTCCTATTACTACCTCTGCAAAATACAGGTTTTGTACATAATTTATACAAGGCCAAATGTAAATATATACAAGGGACTACAAAATGTAATTTAAGAACCACAACCCAGCTTTGTTGTCAATATGGGCTCAAGTAGGGCCATCAGCAAAAGTTTGTTTAACACTTGAAATATATTCCCATAAAGGGTGAGCTACGCTCAATAAGGTATCTCCTATAGAGATCACCTCCCCACCTAAATGCATATGAAACATCACATGGAAATCATCATGTCAAGCATTGATTTAAATTCATAAATGAATGCCACCATCATGCCATGAGATTAGAACTCACATGCGTAATGCAAACCTAGCCCGGCTCCCATAACACATGCTCCCATAACATAAGGGAGGAAGAATGTGAAACCCGGGAAAAATTTTAACTTTTTCTGAAAAAAAAAACGGCAAAATGGTAATTTGCCATTATAGTGTGGGTTAAAAAAAAAAAAACTGGTATTTTTATAAACCTTGGATGATGAAACGGACCTCACCGTTGGATTCGTCTCACGAAATCTAATTACCCAGACAAATTTCGTCAAATTCTGAGATAGTCAGATTTTTCACGTTTTTCGAGGTGACGGGTGTTCGATGACCCCAAAAATACGAAATTTTTATAAAAATTTGAAAATTTGAAAATTTGAAAAATATTTTAAATAAAGTTCATATAAAATATTTTGAGTTTAAATCGGTACGAAAGTTAATCGTTTCAGGATGAAAACGGACCCGGACAAATGACGACACTTGGCGCGACGAGGGCCAAGTATTTAGAAGGTATAAAAGTGAGCAAATATCTGAAAAATCAGATATTTGCTCTTCATTTGCTGCCGGCTGGATCAAACCAAAGGGGAAAGGAGAAAAAAATAAAATTCTTCAAGCTTTCTTTCGCCGATTCTCGGAGTTCCGTCGGTCGGAATTCGTCGGGCCAAGAATTAAAGTCGATCTACGCGACGAGAGCTACGCGTGGGTACCAAAAACAAAGATTTTCACCGAAGATTCAAAGGGAGGATTTTGGAGAAATCTAAGCTTTGGACTTCAATCTTGTTCTTGAGGCTTCCTACAAATTCTTTACGCTTCAAGAGGTAGGGTTCCTCCTACTCGGACCTATTTCTAACCTAAGGTGTCCATAGGGTTCATGTGGGCTGTTTTGGGTATTTCTAATATTTTTTCATTATGATTGGTGCTATGGAAATGGGTAGGATCAATTTTAGTGTGAATTGGTAGTTAGAAAGTGCTAGTTTGTGATTTCTTGAATGTTTAGATAATTGGTTATATAAAAATCATATATTCTGATTTTTATTTTGTTTGAATGATCCATATAAAATCTTGGCTTGATTTTGGTATATGGAAGTATTTATGTAATCCCTTGAAAATTGGGATCATGTGGGCATGCTTTGTGTTTTATATTATGCCTTGTGAATGAAATGTAATATTAGCATGTATTATGTGTTATCATGTTGATGGAGTGTTGATATATGCTCTTGGATATATTGAACTTGAAATGGTTATGTGATTATATGCAAATGATATAAATTGTCATGGTATACAATGATATTTAAAAATTGTCATTTGGCATGCATTGCAATGGACATGGAATTAACATCACATTCATGGGCTACATGCATGAGTGCGGGTGTAGGGTTGCATGGGGTGATCAACACCAACATTGGTTCTTGATGGTAGGCTCGGGAAAGTGGGATGGATTGTCCTACGGAGTCGCACGGTGACATGCATAAGAAAACTTATGTCGGGTATAGCAAGTAGGGCTAGACACTCCCTCGGGTGAAAAATCCGACCACTTGGTTCATACACTTACCGGCGGTGAAATTCCAGAAAAGTGTAACGGCGTACGGAGCCGGAGGTGCGATTCCTGAATCCGATACCCCATAAAGGCACATGATTTTGATATATAAATTATTCATTTGATGGAAAACATCCAAGAATGAATTAGTTTTATGACATATGGTTGATTTCAAAATGATCTTTAGATGTGTTTCATCAAAGACGTTTGTTTTACACGTAAATGTCGCATTGTGTTGTGGGAGTCGGTGTGGGCTCGGGATAGCATGCATGGGTGAGTTTCATCTCATTACTTGGCATGACATTATGATTTTCCAACATTGTATTATATGTTATTGTTGGAGGGAATACTTGTTGTGAAATGTTGCATTTATACATTGAATATGCATTTTAGATGATGAGTAGCCTCTGTAGGGATTATTCTACTGGGCATTGGCTCACCCTATACGGGAAACATTTCAGGTGTGGGTCATGCACCAATGGACGGCTCACAATCCGGGTCACATGGTTAAAGAAAAGTCGACTTGTGGCTTCCAATCCATTTTTTTTGTAAAAGTAGATTTGTAATTAAATTTTGGCATGTAATGTGTAAAGGAATTGTAATAGAGTATATATGGACTGTTTTAATATAACCTTGCATATTTTGATATAAATATGATGATTGGACCCGGTGTGGTCAAGTTTTACATATAAAATGGACCCTGTGTGGTTATGGTATTATATTGGACCTCGGATGGGTCATGTAAATGTTGATTGCACAGATTGTGTTTTGGGGTAGAGCTTCCCGTACAAAGGAGACTCTGCCCGAATTTCGTTAAATTATGGATCCTGGTAAATGGGACACAACGGTGCGATATCGAGTTATACGGTATCCACGGGCATTCCATGGGTTGATGGGAAATTAACGGACCCCATGAATTTGGGGTGTCACATAGGGGATCCTAACATTTCTCCCACCTTGGGAGATTAACCTTGGCCTTGGCTTTGATAGGCTCAGCCCTGCTGTTGTGATTCTTGTGGGGTAGATGTCATTTATTTCTTCCCCGAACTAGTAGAAGAGGACTGACCCTCATTTTCTTGTCCTTGGCTCCAGCCTCCCATATACTCTTTGCATCATTGACCTCCTTCTCAATAGCCATGGCAGTCTTGACCATCGAGTCTAGGTCTTGTAGGCGGTGGCCTACAATCTCTCTTCGGATAGACAATTTCAATCCATCCTCAAATCTCCTCACCTTGGCCAAATCTGTGGCCACATAATGTCGGCCAAACAGGCTAACTTGGTGAACTTCACCATATATTGCATCATCGTCATTGTCCCTTGCTTCAGGTCTAGAAATTTATGGACTTTCACTTGCTCAAGAGCTAACAGGAAATACTTGCCCAAGAAAAAGTTCATGAAACCCTTCCCTAGTCAATACGTCAATATTCTTTAAGGAATTTTAATTATCTTATCTTAAAAAGTACTAAAATTAAAGAATTTTGGTCTCTCTATCACACACACACACACACACACATTTATATACACATACATATAATACTACGAAGTCACATTATAAAGCCTAGTTTCTCTTACACTGTTTTGATACACTGTATTGATACACTTTAAAGGGTTTATGAAATTAAAGTGTATCAATATAATATATGAAAACAGTTTACGAGTAATAGTAATTAGGGATTAAGAATTACACAAATTTAAAGCATATCAATACAGTATATCAAAACAGTGTAGGAGTAATACAAAGTATGCTTCATAGTGTGACCTCGTAATATCATATGTGTGTGTATATATATATTAAAGAAAAGAGAGATATGTTGAATGGTAAGGATCATGACAAAAAAATTTAAAATTCAAAACGGCTAAGATATACACAATCAACGTTAGAAACAAAATTTGTGATAATATATTTTTTTCATTATATTAAGAAATTTTTAATAAAATAAAACAAAATCAAAAATCAACTTAACTGCCAAAAGAAATATGCATGATTTAAGGGAGGTAAATATGTCAAAAAAATTATAAAAATTCAAATTGTGTACTTGAATACAATTAAGTTATAAAAAAAAAAGACTTAATAACCTAATATTAAAAATTATGTTTTTTTTAACCAATAATTATAATTTCGTATCCCTGCTTACAATTCCCCCAATTCCTTGTGCTACCAGGGTAGTTTAATACGGCCCACAGTCTAGTAAAACGTAGACTGGACCTAGCCTAATGGACTGCTACACCAATACTTGGGGGCAAATCCAGAAGACTTTGGACACGGTCAAACCTTTCGCTCAATACCAACAATGGTGTCTGCTTTTCTGGATGTGGTAAGATTTCTCTCTCTCTCTCTCTCTCTCTCTCTCTCTCTATCCCCCACCCACCCACCCACCCACCCAAGCATGCATCTTTATTTGTATGCTTGCTTTGTATTTATTGTACGTTCAACACCCAAATGAACCTTATATTGGAAACTTGATTTTAATTTGTTGGCAGCACCTTTGCCTCAGTTTGGGCAATAAAGGGAGTTTCAGGCTTTGCAGGAGATCAGAGGCTGGTATATCCCAGGTGGGTATTTGAAAAACCTTCTTAAAACTTATTGTTTCTATTAAATTTGCCAGGGTTTAATGTATATTCAAAGATGTTCGTACGGTTGAAACGGCCATGAAGTGGTGGATTATTCTCAAGATATTTTCTTCTTATTTTTACTTTGCATTCCAGAGGAAAGTTATAGAAATCTTTTTACTAAAATAAATGCCACATTTAAGTTTAACATAGTTGGTATTAAGTTTGGCAGCATGATTGGACAATGGAAGAAGCTTCATCTGTTTAGTAATCTGTTCTCCTTTTCTCTTCAATTTTTGATTTGATTAAGACTATTGGCAATTTCTTTTGTTTTTCTCATCTTTTATTTGAAAAAATAATTAATCAATGTGCTCACCCCAAGGTCGATGCCTCAATTTGAAGTGTACGGGCTTTTCTTGAGTTCATAATGTGATATATGAACATTGTAAAAGGGCCTGTATCTGAGAGTAATTCCTTTAATTGAGTGTTCTTTTTCATATACGTTACTTATGCCTGATTGATTGAATTTATTTTAAATGGCTTATTTCGACAAATCCGAATAAATGCGAACCAATGTCAATTTTTCAAACCTTTTGGTGAGATTCAATTAATTCTCTTTTCTTCTGTCAAGAATCACCAAAAATCATATTTCCTCTTTTCGTCCACCTGCTCGGGGTGTTGTTGGTTGACCGACTTAAAGGATTGATAGCATGAGCATATTATAGCTAGAAGTTAACAAATCTGAATTCAAGAGTGCAGTGTAACATGTCCAAATGTTTTTACGAACTTCAAAATCATTTAGCATAAAATTCTAGCTAATGTGGAAATTGGAAAGAACTTTCCTACGCTTTCAAAACACCACTATTGCTCGTTAAATTTCCCAATGCAATCAATGTCTCATTTGATGTGTTTGATCTTAATAGAAATATAGCTTTGAAAGAAGTTTAAATTCTTTGAAGTAATTTAGATTTTCTCTTCACCTGAGATAAAATACTCTCTATGTATTGTTGATCTCAAATCTCGTTAGATTCACTGAACAGGCTTCATTCAAGCAAAATGTTGTTCCCAAAAACACAAATAATTTTCTGGTGTGATGGTTTTGTCCCTTAAAACAGGCATTGTAAATTCTTTGTATTTAGGTAGAAAATAAATTTTGTTACAGCCGAAACCGATGTGGTGGTTAACTATTTAGCCTTTTAAAAAGTTACTATGGTAAAGGTTTTGGAATGATTTCTTACTCGTGGACTGTTTAGAAGATATTTATGTTTCTATTGTATCCAGTTAAATTCATTAGTATAGGTGCAGATGATTTCTTTTAAAAATTACAATGGATGGGGAATGCAGAAGTGATCCTACCAATTTATCTCTGCCAGTTTTGTCCATGTTCAATTTAGTTTGCCTTGGCTATGACTCGTGTGTGTGTATCGCTCTTGGGGCTGGTGATGCAGGGATTTTGACTTTGGTTACTTTTTTTTTTATAATTTTTGAGGCAATTTCAATATTTATTTACTTACCAGGATGGGATCACTGATCAACAGTCACCAAGGAGGCTCATAGGTTGGCGACCCTCACAGCACCTGGGAAGACATCTGGCTAAGGTCTGCCGAGCGGCAGAGCCTACATCTGTACTTTCTAAGTCTTGGTGTAGTTATGAGATTGGTGCTGGGAAAAAAATAGGCTGCATAAATGTTATATTGTACATGAGGAGGTTTGTTTGCTTATTTATTTGGAGATCCATGTTTTGCAGGAAACGCATACCTTAGATCAAGGGAAGAAGAAAGCCAGCATGAGCCTGATAGAAAACTGTCGATCTGTCACAAAGGATGATATAGTTATTCCTGATTCCTCGGCAGTCCAACAACATAAGCTCCCTCCTCTGGTTAGTGCATTGAAAGCTTCAGCAGAAGAAAATGCAGCCAGTTTTCACTTCCCTGGTCACAACAGAGGGCGAGCTGCACCATCGTCATTGACTCAGCTTATTGGTGTAAGACCTTTCCTTCATGACTTACCTGAGCTTCCAGAACTTGACAACCTCTTTGCTCCAGAGGGGCCCATTTTAGATGCACAAAAAGAAGCTGCTAAGCTGTTTGGAGCATTTGAGACATGGTTCCTAGTTGGGGGTAGTACATGTGGAATCCATGCTGCCGTCATGGCTACATGTTCACCAGGAGAAACTCTTATTCTCCCTCGGAATTGCCATATATCAGCCACATCCGCCATGGTATTGTCTGGCGCACTACCAAAGTACATTAGCCCTGCGTATAATTTTGATTGGGACATTGCTGGTGGCATCACTCCATCTCAGGTGAGTGCACAATACCACATTTCATGGTTTTAAATGAGTCGCCTTTTGTAAGAGGTAGTTTATTTTGAGTGTTTAACGTTTGAGATTGGGTTTGAGTGATGAAGTTTGAAATTATCTTTTCAAGTATTTGCGGTACAGAAAATGAATAGGATTCAGTGAAAGCGTGTAGATCTTAATTTCTATTTACCCTCCTTGGGATTTACATATGTTTTGTGTATAATTGACATGGTCGTTGCTACAGGTAGAGAAGGCAATCAAGGAATTGGAAATGGAAGGTCAAAAAGCAGCTGCAGTTTTCGTCACTTCCCCTACTTACCATGGTATCTGCAGCGATGTGGGTTCGATTTCTCAGCTCTGTCATTCTCATGAAATTCCCGTAATTGTTGATGAGGCTCATGGGGCACACTTAGGATTCCATCCACAGCTGCCTAGGTCAGCTCTCCATCAAGGGGCTGATCTTGCTGTGCAGTCTACTCACAAAGTTCTGTGCTCTCTTACACAGTCATCGATGTTGCATGTGTCTGGAAATCTTGTTGATAGAGAAAGAATTTGTAGATGTCTGCAAAACCTTCAAAGCACGAGCCCTAGTTATCTGCTTTTAGCATCATTGGATGCCACAAGGGCCCAAATAAGTGAAAACCCAAAAAATATTTTTAACAAAGCAATTGAATTGGCTGTTGAGGTAAAAACTAGGATCAACAAAATTCGTGAACTTTCAGTCCTCGATTTACCAAGTTTTTCTGATTTTCCAGCAATTGATCCTCTGCGAATTACTATTGGTGTATGGCAGCTTGGTCTTTCTGGTTTTGAAGCTGATGAGATCTTATACAGGAAATATGGGGTCGTTTCAGAACTTACTGGTACCCGATCTATTACGTTTGCTTTTAACCTTGGAACCTGTAGAGAGCATGTTGATAGGCTTATATCAGGACTAGAACATTTACCAGAAACTTTCTTACCAATTCAACGCATTGAAGATAGGGTAGATGATGGTTGTGGTGCACCCTTTGATGGAATTACCATGAGCCTGAGTCCTAGAGACGCCTTCTTTGCAAGTAAGAGAAAAGTGAGTGTCAAAGACAGCCTTGGAAAAACTTGTGGAGAGCTTATATGTCCATACCCACCCGGTATACCTTTGTTGATCCCTGGTGAGGTTATCACAGAGAGAGCAATGGCATACTTGCTGCAAGTTAGAAGTAAGGGCATTGTTGTTAGTGGAGCAGCTGATCCCTCTCTCTCCACTATAGTTGTATGCAAACCCTGAGCAAATTTCAGCTCTCTAAGCACCAGCGGCTGATATGGGAAGCCAAGTTTACATTATCGAAAATCCTGGTATGATTTCTGGTATTGGAGGAGATGAGCCATTGTTCTACCAACATACCACA